AGAACTCGTGCCCTTTTGCCGTTGATCAGGATAGTACCTTCCAGAGCGGTGTGTGGTTTGAATGTAGCCGGAGGTCGAACACTGCTGCATTCCACATCGATATATCCGATATGGATCCCTTCATATTCACTGGATTGGGCGTTATCGCTTTCAACATTGTTCGCCGATGCCTCTTGCTTAATTGCCTTTCCTTTTCCTTTCTTCGTAGGACAGTTCTTTGCCATGTGTCCTGTTTTTCCACATTCAAAACATTCTCCTTTTTCCCATCTCGATTCTATGCAGGATTTTTTTTTCTTCTTAAAAACCCGTGGGGTATCATCTCCAGAGTTGCTGGAGGCTTTGTGTCGTGGCTGGCTGTTCCTACTAGAGGATGTCTGTGTTTTGTAGGCCTTGGTCTCATGGAGAATGGCGTCTTTTCGTTCTGCTCTTGCAATTATTAATGCAATATCATCGCCATCTTCCTCGAGTGGTTCTACTTCTCGCCGGAGGGTAGGATGCATGGTGTCGTAAAATCGTCGCTTCAGGATGTATTTGGAGATACTTCCTCTCTCCATCCAGTCCTTAAACATCACTAAGTCCGTAGCCACATCGGTGATTCGCTTGACATACGTTCCGTTAACTTGCTGGAGCTGGTTGAATTTGTTGTAAAGGAGGTCGTTGGTTATAGATGATTGGAATCATCCTTTCAGGTAATCGAGAACTGTAGATCCTCTTAATCTTACATTACCGCCGAAATCCTTATAGCATTGGTGGTATGCGTCGGTTGCCTTTCCTTCGCAAAATGATCCAATGATAAGTCCGGTTGTAGGGTCTTCCACATCTTTTCCTTGTAAGAGTAGGAAGTGTGAGAGTTCTGTTGCCCATCATTCAAAAGCTTCAGGTTTGAGGTCTTTCCCTTCGCTTGTGAACTTCGCTGGGAGGTGGAGTTTAAACTTAGGGGGTTCAAATGCTGCGGGTACCTCCTCTTCTTCAGGCCTTGCCCGAGATTTTCCTCCTCCCGAGGGCCCTCCTCCTGTGCTAGCCATATCTGATTCGCTACTAGATTCAGGGTCGTTCAGAGGTTCAAAGGAAGGCTTCTTTGCTGGAGTAGAAGGGAATTCTCCTGGAGGTTGTGTATCTTCCGTGTTTGCAGGATCACCCGGCTCTTTAGTAGAGCGCCGGGGTTGTTTCTTCCTTGTAAGGTCTTGCCGTGGGATTTGCTTCCCACTCCTGGTCATCAAAGACTCTATCTTGGGTTTGAGATGAAGCCGAATGTGCTGTGATTCTGCAGCTTCTCTCCGCTAGCGTTCTGAGGTGGATATTGATAGGTTGATCAGGCCTAAATCCGGGGACAGGTTCTTAACCACTTGCTGAGGTTAAAAAAATGTAACGCGTTCGCAAGGTGCTAATCACGTTATCGGTAAAGGATACGATAGTTGGCAGGTGGCCTGCTCTTCCGGAGAGGAGGCGAGAGCTGAGAACTAAAGGAGGCTTCAAGGGTGTACTGGAAAACAAAGAAGTAACTGCTCAACCAAGTATATTGGAATACTGTCTGTCGAAGTCTGCCTTTTCTATCGTAGAAACAGGCGGTCTTTAAATACACAAATCTGTTCATGTCTAGCATGAACGAAACTAATCAAAGGTATCAATCGATACACTTTGGTAAAAACTCTTTAAGTATCAAAGGGATACTTAAAACAAAACATAAAACAAAACCAAGTATCAAACGATACTTAAAACAAACCAAGTATCAAAGCGATACTTAAAATAAAACATAAAACAAAACCCAGTATCAAACGATACTTAAAACAAACCAAGTATCAAAGCGATACTTAAAACAAAACATAAAACAAAACCAATAACCAAGTACCCGTACCGGTTACAGTTATCAAGAACTAACCATCCAAAGGGACATCATTTCACTAGCAAATACATTACAATATATTTATTAAATAAGAACTTTTACCTTCTCTGACCCTCCTCCTCCTAATTTTTTCTTTCCTTCTAGTAATGCATAATCTTAGAGGGAGTTGCTCCTACTATCCTAGCAGTAACAGTAAGGCTTGGAGCTGTTCCAATAGCCCCCATTTTGATGGCCATTTGCTCTTGAATATGGGCCAGAATTGTAGCCTGAGAGTGGTTTAATTCCATTATCAGAGTATATAATATACCTCATGGTGAGTCAAAACACATGGTGACATGAAACAACTCAATCAAGTATAGTTCAAAACATCAATTATCCACAGGTATTCTCATCGTCCTCAACCTTACCACCAAGGGGTTCCTCCTCCGGTCTTTTCTCCTCACCCCCACCATCTTCAAAATCCAAATTCTCCACCCTATCTAGAGCATTTTTCTTTTCCGTTCCTAATTTCTGGTACTCTAGTTCCTTCTCCTTCATCAACTATTTGTAGTTTTCAAGCTTTTCCTCTAATCTTTTTTCTTCAATATCTAATTGAACCATGGATTTGTACCTCTTACTCTCATGCCCATTTTTTTCCCTCTCCTGCTGCTACTTCAGTTTACTAGCTATTTCTGTAAGCTTAGTAAATGTACTAGTATACAAGCATGTATAATAATCTAAACTAGTTTTTGCACGCTTTTCTTTTCCATTATAATTGGTATGAATTATCTTCTTCATATCACCAGCAGAAATAGCAGAGTTATCTATCTTAATTCTTTTCCTGTCTTTCCTACTAGAATTAAGACCTTCCTCTATGATGTATTGTTGTATTTTCCATTCGATTTCATCTCATAGATTTAAAGTAAAACAGTAAAATGAGGCTAAGTGAGCCAGAGAGCAGATACCAGCATGGGCATCTCAAGAGTATGAGGTGTTTTGGGAAATTTTACTTTGTGCAAAGTTTTCCAGTTGAGTAATCTCTGACTCAGTTTTAGGTATTCGAGGTTCAAGCAGAAGTGAGGAGGTGGTATGGTTTTCTGAATTTAGCTGATAGGAATTATAGTCAGGAAGGATTTGTAAAAGCTTTAGTGCATTTAAGAGATAAATGCTAGTTACTTCAAATTCACTTAGGATATTTTTCTCAATTAGACCACCTATTTGTGCCTGCTGCAAGACATCTTAAAAGTTCTTCTTACTATATAGTTTCCCAATTGAAATATTTCCCATACTGCCTCTGTCTACTTTTGCTTCAATGGACTAAATACAGCAATATCACATAGCTGTAATTTGTGTGTGGTATGAGCTGGTAGGTAAAAAGGAATAATACGGTGCTGTAGGCAATAGAGTAAAAACTCCTAAGTAACATGAGAGGAATGGCCATCAAATAAAAGCATTTGAAAGCAGGTTCCGCTAGCAGCTTTAGCTGCTGATAAACTATTCGGTCCAAAGAAGTGCTCAAGATATTATAGACTCTTTTTTGCATTAGTCTATCTATTCTCAGAATACCTTATCAAGACCTCATCCAGCATGCAAAGATGTGAGTTTTCCACCCAGCTCTCTTAAATACTATCCCCTTTGAAAATTATCATAGGTAATAATTGAGATCTATCTGCACAAAGGGTTTCTATCACAGTAACCATTTCTCTTCACCTATTACAAGCACGCAGCACTCCACTTTGCTGTCATAAATTCTTACCATAGATTCCTCAGCATAATTGGGTAAATCCCATCAGATAGCCAATTTCATCTAAATTGTAAAAGTTTTTCTAGTTGATATTGTACTTAATAATAGTAGCTTCCAACTTATTAAATTAACTATTATGTATATAAATTTTGTAAATAGATATAGCACATACTTGTTCAAAGAAGTTTACAAATACAAAATAGTCCTGCTATGCCTCAACTCTAACATGCTCAATCTACCGGCTATACCTAATCCCTAACTCTAGATGATGGTCTAAGAATGAAAGATGCCAGTTGTATCCCACAAGTCTAGTATTTTCAGAATCTCTTTTGCTATATAAGTACATAGCCATCTCCTTGAGAAGTGCAATATGAGGAGGAAAACAATAGTCCTGCATTTTCAAGCACCTGATTCCAAATTAGTTTCTTAGATAACATTAAACTCATTCAAGTATTAGAGTCATTTACCAATTAACTAGTACCTTCTCCTCTCCTCTATTTAAATATTACTTTCGCTTATTATACCTATTAGTAGGAACTCGGCCATGGTCACGATGCCAAAGTATAGTTCTTGGAACTTCATAATCGAGCACAAGCTCTTGGTAGGTGGGGACATGACTCCCATGCTCATGAGCTTGATTCAGGGCACCAAGTGCAAGTTCAATACACTGTTCTGTTGAAAGATGATCGGTTGGAGACATTTTGATGAAGCTGTTTGTATAAGCAATTGATTCCTTCTGCCTAAAGCTTTAATTTACATAAACTTCTACATGATGCAAACTCCCTCGGGTATGGCACTACTCTGTTGTAGTAACTTATTCAGAAAACAGGTTTTTGGCTCTTAACTAGTTGATCAGCAACCACTTGTTTTGTGTCACCGTGTGTTTCGGCTCACCGTGGGGTACGTTACTGCAGTTGAGTTTGGTCAGTGATTTGTGACATCATAGCCTTCCAATTCCTATAATCCCGTCCCTATTCTGTTCACATTACAAGTACTCGTACCAGTGTGATGACACCCTTCTGATCTGATTGCATGAGAGCAAAAATATCCCATCTGGTGGTTTAATAACTTTAACCCGCGTTCGATGCGGTGCTCGAGCGCTGGCACGTTGAAGAATCCCTCGTAGACACTATAATAATATTATTATGATACAAAACCTCAACTTCCACTCCCCTCCCAAGATCGCCCCCGTTCCCACATGCTCGTGAGGGCTAAAGCCCAAACCGCCCCCGCCATCACTATCGACCTTGCCGTGACCTTCACAAGTAGTCCATCATATCATAGAACTCCATCCTGCCTCAACATCCAACTTGCTAATTTCCATACAGTAGAGTAAGGTAAAGTACCGGTGTGGTTGATTTTTACTCTTGCGAGCAGTGCTAGATCAGATCATGGTCAGTTGAGCCTCCATACCTGCAGCCCTAGACTGAGGCAGAAAAAGAAAAATCACAACATACTCCATCTAAGTTTCGATATACTTCTGTGTATGCTCAGAAAATTTCATCCACATGCGTCCCTCTTCATCAACTTCCCCGAGGAACTGTCGATTGTTTGGCGCCTTCCGTAAACCCCACCGCTCCTACTATTGTTTGCTCTGGCGAAGGTCCATCTCGTCCCGCAGCCTTTCCGCAACCGCTTCTCAAAAGATAGCTACAATGTACAACACAGCGAGAGTCGGGCTTGGAGCACTGGTCACAACAGGAGCCGTTGTTATGTTTTACCGGACTCAGATTCACCGGAGGATACTACCGGTGAACGAGCGGGTTACTCCAGGGAATGCCGCCGTTGGAAGCAACGGAAAACAGAAGGGTGATAATGATGAGACGGAGAACGAGAAGGCCGAACCAGATGAGAGTGATGGCAAAGCTAAGAAGGGAATCCTCTCCGCGATAAAAGGAACTTTTGGGCAGCTCGTCGTGCAACAGACACCGAAGAAAAACCCGGAACCCACACCGGATGACGATCTGCAAAAAAAGAGTATTGGCGTCGTGCAGGCCCGCGAGGAAGGGCAACTTAATCAGAGAGATGCATTAACAGATACTCAGTGGCTCACATTCTCCAACAAACTTCTCGTGGCGAAGGAATCCATACTCTCCATCGACTGGCCAAAGCTCAACAACCTTACAAATGTTTTCCCCGATTGGGCTACCGGACTGCCAGAGTGGGTCACAAAGCTTCAGCGAGAGCTAAACATGGAACCCGGATCACTAGCGGATGAGATTTGGAGCGAAGCGCAGGACCCCAAAGTCAATCCAGAGGTGGAAAAGGATGCACACGTGAGGTTAGGGAAGGATCTCTGTGAGGAAGAACAACGCTACTTGGCCAGTCGGAAGGGCTTCACAAAACAGGGGTTGGCCCAATATCTCAACATTCCGGAGTCGGATATTCACGATGACGATGTGCCAATTATCGCCACTACAGGGTCCGGCGGTGGCTTACGAGCCATGGTTGCAGGAGCAGGCTATTACCAGGCCCTGACGGAGGCCGGCTTGTATGATTGTACGACATATACCGCGGGAGTTTCTGGTAGTTGCTGGTTACAGGCTCTTTACCTTACTTCTTTGGGGAAATGCTCATTCGATCGAGTGATGGAGCATCTGAAGGCACGCATTAATGTACATATCGCCTATCCGCCTAAAGCACTCGAGCTGGTTACCTCGGCACCTACGAACAAGTACCTCCTACGCGGAGTGGTGGAGCGACTAAAGACAGGTTACTCTCCATTCACCCTTGTGGATTTGTATGGACTGTTGCTGGGCGCTAGGCTCCTGGTTCCGTCAAATGAACTGACGCTTGATGATACTGATCTGAAATTGAGTGCCCAAAGGAGGTTCTTGGAAAATGGAGAGCAGCCTTTACCTCTTTATACAGCCGTCAGGCACGAGATTCCGTTCATCGGCGGTGAGAACGAGAAGGGGAAACCAATTCCTGAAGAGCTTAAGGAGAAGGCAAGTAAACACGAGAGTTGGTTCCAATGGTTCGAGGCCACTCCTTACGAAATATATTGCGAGGAACTTGAAGGTATGATTCAATTCAATGATTCTCATGCAACTACTTACTAATCTAGAAACTTGACGACAGCTGGCATCCCAACTTGGGCAATGGGAAGGCGATTCGAGAATGGCGTCAATGTCAGCCGGAAGGTGCCAGAAATGAAACTCCCGCTACTGTTTGGGATCTTTGGATCGGCCTTCTGCGCTACTTTGAGCCATTACTACCACGAAATTCGTCCATTTGTAACATCTGTCAGTCTTTTCTTATCATTGGATAAGATGGTATTGGACCGAAACAATGATCTCTCGAAGGTTCACCCAATTGATCCTTGCAGCGTTCCCAACTTTGTAAAAGGCTTGAAGGAATCATTGCCCTCTACCTGTCCGGTACTGTAACCCCAACACCTACATAACCTTAAAAATAGAACTTTTGCTAACGAAGCACCAGGAATCACTCTTTGAATCTGAAGGTATCAAGTTAATGGTTTGTCCCCCACCCGCCATTCCTGCGTGTCGCTTCCTGAAGCTTGGAACTCCCCTTTTGTATTATCAAGTGTTTCCACCCAATTGCTAACTCCACTCAAGGATGCGGGAATGAGCAACAACCTTGCATGCTACCCGCTCCTCCGTCCGGGCCGGAACATCGACATCCTTATTGCCTTCGATTCCTCAGCAGAAATCCAAACAGCAAATTGGATAGGCTACGCCGAGGGTTACGCCAAGCAGCGGAAGGTCCAGGGATGGCCTGTCGCGATCGGATGGCCCAAAGGCGACAACAAACAAAGACAACAGGAGCTTGAGGATGCCCAAGCACACTCGGCAAAAGAAGCGCAACAGAAACTGGAAGAAGCTCAGAGAGAAGCTTCCGAAGCGGAGAACGACAAACCTCTTAGTCAGAGAAAGGAGGAGCAGAAGAAGAAAAATGCCCTTGGATACTGCACCGTCTGGGTTGGCAGCAAAGAGGAAAGGGACTCCGGTGACGAACCGCCTCCAAGCAAAGCTGTGGAGGACGACTGGGAGTTGATGAAGCCAAATGCAGGTGCGTACAGTATGACATGATAAATGATATTGGACATCAGTGCTGTCGACATTGCTTTCCCCACCCCGCTTTTTCCGTTCTTCCACACACACACCATCACCCATCCCTCCCCCTCTTATCTTATCTTGAGGTCCCCCGCTCGCTCTCCGTCACGCGCCAGTTTCCCACTCCACCCCCCCCCCCCCCTTTTTTTCTTTCCTTTTTCCTTTTTTTTTGCCCCTCTCTGTCCACACTTGCACTCAGTCCGCCCATCGGTACGGATGTGCGTGTATTACCCAAACAAACCCAGAATTCACCTGTCCTGCACAAGTACTGTACTCGAGTACAGCACAGTAAAACCAAGAAACAAAAAATTGGTTCCACTGTTGCTGTTTCTCTTGCGCTCTTCACATGAGCCTTCTCATAGGGCTGACGAAACGGAACCCACCGGGCAAAAAAATTCACAGGGATAACGGTTGTCTATTTTCCATTAATTCCAAACGAGAAGGTACCAGGTGTTGACCCTGAGATAAGCCCTTACCTATCCACCTGGAATTTTGAGGTGAGCTTCCTCCTTTTTTAGTTCCCGCACAGTACCCCCTTTCACGCAAATACCGTACAGTAGAGCTGATCACCAACGTGGCCGTGCCAAAACGAGAGAGAGAAAAAGTGGACACCAGAACAAATCGACCAAACAGTGGCGCTGGCCAAAGCTAATTTTCGGGAAGGGGCTGAGAAGCTGAAGGGGACCGTCAGGGCCGTTTATGAACGGAAGAAGAAGTTGCGGTTGGGGATGGAGGAGAAAATGATCGAGAAGCGTGAGAAAAAGGAGGAAGAGAGGCATGAAGAGAATAGAAGGACATACGGGATACATGATCATTTCTCATGATTTACTCCTTGCTGTTCTTCTCTGCTTTGCCTTGTCCTCCTTTTTTTCGACTTTTGATGGAGGGGTCTCCTCTCCCCCTTGCCGTGTATACTGTACACATCACATCATGGCACCATAGATAGATAGAGCCCCTCTTTATAGCAGTCCACGGAAACTACGGCGGTTTGTTTTTGCCGTCATCGTAGGTACTTGTACCATTATCTCTCTACAGAGAGTTTGGTCAGTTTGATACGAGAACCAATGCCGATAAATAAAGCTTGGTTTTTTTTCTTCCTCCCCTCTGCATGTGCAGTTCTTCGTTTCCCGTGCCTCCGAAATTGGTCATCTTTCCCAGATCATAATATATCGGCGGTGTCTACCATACCATAATTACCGAAACAGCCCGCACTTTCAATCGGTTAACCAATTCCTCCCACCCTCACATATATCACAGCCCTGCCTCCACGGTACACCCCACACCCTCCATCAAAACTGGCCAGAAGCTGCATGAGGATATACGAGTATGATATCAAACACCCATCGAAAGTCCCGATCCCTCCTCACTCACCCTGACACCTAACACACTGCACCAGCACGCATTCCACATACCACACTACAAGTGCCAAGTGAGTGAGTGATTGCGTGTGAACCACGCTCCGCTGCTCCACAAACCCCCATCCCCACCAATAGCAAAACTCCCTAGTCCTTGCAGGACGAGGATCCCCAAGTAGGTATGTCTTGGTCCTGCCAGGCTCTCTGCAGCGCTCGAGTACCGTACTACAGTATTGTACCGTGACTTGTGCATTGCAAAAGGTATCGGGAAACCTTGGCGTCCCCGGCCCTTTGTGAATAAGTGGGTGGGATTGGTGATGTTGATTGTTGATGGAAGAAAGAGATAGGAATCTTGGTAGGGTGTGTGGGGTCAAGTTTACTTGTATGATAGTTTGGCCTGTTAAGTCTGGGGCAGAGCGGAGGGTACCGGTAGGGTAGTCTAGGGTCTAGGGATGTGATGGCAACGTACGGTACTCGAGTAGGACAAAAGGCTGTGATCCGACATGGGAAAGAAAGGTAAGGATTGCTTGTGAGAGCGTAGCGCGGGAGGAAATTTACTCCACCGGTACAGTACCGTAAATCTGGCGAACTGAGTGGCGTGGCCGTGGTGGAAACTCAACCGAAATCTGTCACTGAACAGCAGGGACACTCAGCAAAAGCACAGTAATACACTACCACATTCATATCCGAACTTGTTCGCATCGTCCTGTACAACCCACCTGCCAACCCACACAAATTGAATACCCTCGATCCATCCGTCAAGCACAGCCAACTCTTGATCCCCTCTTGCTTCCTTCCCGTGTCCGATCGTTTCCGTGGCATGACATCGACTGCGTTGCATTCACCACAATGATTGCAGCTCACTGCACGATTCGGACACCACGGTGGTCGCAGAGTTGCTGAGCAGGGCAGACGGAGCACAGTAATTTAGACTAGAGCACAGTAGAGCACAACACCAAATCTAGAATAATCCCCAGCCTATCCAGCTCACCCCTTCCCCCTCTCCATGGTAAAACCCCCTATCGTATCATATCACACTGTCTGATACCGGTAATAACTATAAAAAAAAACCCCTCGCGGGATCACTTCTCAACGCCCAGACTGATAGTCTACCCCCCCCCTTCATCCCATCGCTTGCTAACCCCCGTTAACGACCCTCCCCCCTTCAGCCGCACCTAAGCAGCAGAAACGCGCAAAAGAAAAAGAAGAAAAAAAGCCCCAGAACCCAAAATCGTGGGGATGAAGGGAGGGGGGGGCCGATCTCGTTTTCCTCACGGGCATTTCTACCGTAACGGTAGTGTGTGTGTGAGCGATGCAGCAACTGTTTTGTCGTTCAACGAGTAAATTTACGTTTACTGGGAAGCGTCACGGACCACGTTTAATTTGTTTAAGGGTATTAATAGGTGGATCGATGGGTGATGATGATGATGAGGGTATGATGGGCGGATGGATGGACGGACGGATGGATGGATCATGGATGGGGGTACCGTAAATTGTCGCGTGCGCAATGGGGGGAGTGAGGTCAGGGAAAGAAGGATGGCTCTTCTTTTTTCTTTTTCTTTTCTTTCTTTTTTTGCGAATGGGTTCTAGTGATGGATGGTGCTCGGATAGAGAGAGCAGAGGAGCACTTATGTCGGGAGGTGAGTTAGGTACAGTACTGGTATTCGGTAGCAATTGGTTGACAGTGATGGCCTGCTCGAGTACTCCTGCTGTCGTGACTTGGACTTGGTACTGTATCTATACTGTAGTACTGTGAAGAGAAGTCTGCTCGAGTATCATACCTGCTGGCCATAGGACTCAACTTCCTTCCCTTTTATCCTGCTCAAAGTATCACGAAGCACTTGTACCCAATTCCTATACCCCCACTTCCATTACCGTCCGAGCGGTGATAGAAAGCTCGCCTGCTCCGTTGTAGACTAGACTATATCGTGAGCACCATCTCTCTCCCCCCCATAGTATTGAATGTGTGAATGTGCTAGTCGAGCACTTTAATATTGTTCTAAATTTACAAGTGCGTTCGCCTGATTTTCAACATAATTTAGTAATTCCAATGGTACCGTAGTATAGTAGAAAAGTACTAGACTATGCCTCGAAGGAAAGCATCAAGATTGAGCACTTTTATCTACGGGTATTCTTACATAAAAGAGCTTGGTCTGCACTCGATCAACCCCCCCGTATCAGAATCGTGTATGGTACCGGTATGTTCGGCAGTAACGTAGTCATCTCTCCCAGCTCGTCCCTGTTTTTATTTTTATTTCATTCCTCCTTTCTTCCGCTCCTCCTCGCTTCGCACAGGCACTCTTTTTCCGTCTGTTCCCTTTTCTAAGTTTCCTCCTTTTCCAGAGAGAGGAAGGAGACGACGAGAGAGAGGGGCAAAGAAAAGCGGACGGTCCAACGGATTAACCAGGTCCAAGCGGTGCATGAGAAAGAGGGATCTGAGAATCTGCGGGTTCGGCCTCTGCCACCCCCAAACTTTTTATTATTATTATTATTTTGATTTTCCTTGCCGGGCGATACATGACCTAGGAAGCAATTGATTCACATCCCTCCGCGACAGTGCGAGCAGGGGGGTGGCAGCACTTTGAGCAAGCACGGTGTCACACGAATACCGCACAACTTTGGTACGAGTACTCTACTCGTACAGTAGTGGTGCTCTTTCCAGAGGAATACCGGTATCGGTGCTGCGCGATACTGAAGGAAGAATTTAGAAGCGGTCGAACAGGGAATAAGTGCTCTGTTTTGTCACCCTTTTTAACGCTCTTTTCGGGAAGGAGTGCACGTTCCTTACTGATTCAGAAGACTTGAGCCACTGTGTGATACGAGTGCGATACCACTTGCTGCTGCTTCCAACTGGGATTCTTGTTAGACCTGGCGGCCTTGTGCTGGAAAGCAGGAGAAAAGTGACCTGACAGTGGCAGCATCCGAACTCTCCCAAGAAAGGGTCCCTTTTGGCTTTGCTGTAACCCACGATAGAGGTTTTGGCTCCCACTTGTCTGGTTACAGTTTCTGGCCAGTCCAAATCGGTTCCCCTTTTCTTCTTCTTCCCCTTCTCGCTCACAATCACAAACTCGCATTTTCTCTTATTTCTTCGAGGCTGCCCTGCCCCTGGTGGGGTGACCCACTGCCACTCACATTCCCGCGCTTTTTACTCGCTCGCTCTGAAGGGTGGCTTGTGTGCCCTGCGTGTGCCGTCCGTCGTATAAATATCTATCTGGACCTCCTCTTCCCTCTCCTACCTCAACTTGTATCCGTGGTTCCTACCACCCTCTGGATGGTTAATTGTGGAAGACGAAATATACAAAAAGGGTCAAAATTCCACTGTCTGTGTTGGGTTCGTTATTCAATTCAGTAACTTGCCTGCCTAGGGAAAAAAATTGGCAGAACCCCCGCCTCCCCCCGTCGGCGTACGAAAATACTTATCCCTTGCTGGACCACGAACCTACGAAACGGAAAAAATATTAAACCATACAAACTTCCCGCTCCCTTCGCCCGTCGGCCCCTTCTACCGTAGGCAGAGGGTTGAACTCCATTCGCTCCTACTGAACTACCTCCAACGCACGGCGCACTATACGCATACATGTACATAAGTACATACACACGGACACAGATAACACAGTCATTGCTGCTACAACTGCAGACTTAGAATATGCCGAGGAGAAATAGATGCTCCTTGGTACTAGCTCTGCCACCCCGCCTTCCATCTTCACGCTCTTCTAGTGCTGGCCTTTCTTCCTCATCTCGGCCTTTCGACAACCCTCTCCCTCAATTGCCTGCTCCCTGCACCGCTCCACTTCAACTGCTCCATCTACCACCTTCCGACATGAACCCTGTATCTCAGTCTGTTCCCTGTTTGCCGACGGTATTTAAGTTAGGGCTCGTAACCCCAGATACCCCATCATTTCCCCTTCGTGGAGACGGAGAGGAGGAAGCACACGACAGCAAGCGGTTACGAAGCTCACAAGCTCAGAAAGAAGGAACATCACACGCCATGGATTCTCATATCCCCACACCGACTTTGACAAATTCACCGGGGTCACCATTGGAGATGGAGTACTCTTACGAAGAATTCGAAAGATATTTACCACTTTCCAACTTCCCGACACCACCGCTTTCTGATCAGTACTCTCCAGAGCTGCCGGCGGGCCTCAATTTTGAGGATGTCTTGAATCCCGAGCTTTATGGTGAGTTCTAAACCCTTTCCCCTTTGACATACGTCATTTCCCTTTCTGTTTCCGTCCTAACACTTAAGTAACAGGCCCTGCAAGCTACCTCTGCAGTATGTTGCCGAAGAATGCATCCCGCGAAGCTCCCTCGACTCATCTGCTACAATCTATCCTACAACGAGCCAATGTTGCTATGGAGGTTGTGGGTTTGGCGAGTTGCATCTTGGATTGTTTGTCTGGTCAGTTTGTGCGTCGGTGGAGACAGGAATATTGTGCGGCGGAGGGATCTGCGGAGCGATGTGAAGTTCTGGCCGTGGCTGCTCTGTGCATTGCTCTGAAATTCCTGGAAGATACTGTTTGTTTCCCCCAATCCATGAGAACGTGCATTTTCTGGGGGAAAAAAAGTTTGGATGGTCCATTTTGCTAACATGAGAAAATAGTCGCTATCCTCTAGGATGTGGGCTCGCGATATTTGTGGTGATAGATTCTCACCGAGAATGCTTAGCATTACTGAGCGGCTGATCCTTGGAGATGTGGGCTTTTCCATTGCCGGGATTTGCACAGCTGAGCTGATCCAGTATTCTATCAATGAGATGAAACGGCACTCCAAGACTGCTCCGAAAGCTAAAAGACCATCATGCCCAACAGCGGCGGAATCCTCACCTTCCAAGCAGTTCACGAAGACGACGTTTCCTCGGTTGTCCGAGCTGGACTCGTTCGTTAGTGACACTTTGGTTGATCTGCCAGTCTCTATTCCTTAGACAACTCTAGCATATTACCTGGCGTTGAGCATTATTTCATCTTGCTTTTTCTTTTATGATTCTCTTTCTCTCTGCTCTTGAAGTCTGGTGTATTTGGGTGTTTTGACATTTCTCAAGAGCTGCAGCGATTCCATGCGATACCTGTTTTGTTTTTGTTTTTTCTTAATTAAATCACCACCTTCGTGGTCATGGTTTACGAATAATGCCTAGCATTTTCATAGCTTGCGACATTCCCTTTCAGGACTCTCTTCACTGTTCTTTTTTTTTTTTATCAGGAATACCTTACACCCTTGTAATGTCGTCCTTTTTTTTTGGAGGCCATATATCTTTGTAGTTTCGGCGTTTCACGGTACAGAGGCATATACCTTTTTTCTTCTCTGGGTGTGGTAGGAGAGTTGGGTTGGGTGGATGGAAGGATGAATGGAGGTTTCTCCTGCAGGATAAGCAGAGGACACCAATGAGAGGCAGGCTTCAGTCAGTCTAGTGGATACAGTAGATAGACAAGTAGCTCAGCTGGAAGTTGTCTGACCAAATACTTGCTGCATGATTCCTATTGGCGATCAAATATCGGGAGTCCTCAATCGATATCTGAAACGTGGTGGGGTAGCGAAATTTGAGTTGTAATTTTTTCTATGGTATGATAATGCCAGTGCGGTACCAGTACAGTACTGTGCTGGGGCACGGTCAAAAGGGAGGGAAAACTTGTGGTGGCATGGCAGGGATTTTGTTGATCGATCGTTAAACTTCCTGGAGAGAGAGATAGCATTATGGAAGTCAGAAACCCAGACCTGGGCGCATTGCCGTTTGCTTTCCTCCAGAGACGAGGATTGGAAATTCTCAAGGGCTACTCGGGGTTGTAAGCAATCCCTGTGGGACTGGTCTGTACTGAGCCCAATCTCATGATTCTTACCTTACACCACTCGGCTCCTATTTCTCGTGTCAACTAGGCCTCGATTTTTCCCACTGATATTGACCATCCGCCCACTGCCCCATGGTATCTTGCTGATCCATTTTTCCGCCATGCCCGAGTACCGCACTGTACTCGAGTATCCGCTATCATACTTGGAGGTCAAAAATGGCAGATGGCTCACGCTGCTACTCGTGTAGTTCACAGCCCTATGCCTAGACAAGTCAATCGGTCTGGCAACCTTGCAACATCCCCCCCCGCTTCGATCGAAACCTCACTTCAAAGCAACATGGCACCGAGGCGCCATATAATCGACAGCCTGTGTCGTTGTTTGTGCCCACAATTCAATAACCTGCTTGCCAGCAAATCCGCGGTAGCCCAATTCCGCCCTCGAAACCTGTCCACTCCCGCATCATTAAGATGCCTCTCGACCACCCGTCCAACCCACCAATCCATCGATCCAGTGCCCGGGCCGGCATCACAAACCCCACCACCGGAGCCTCAAGGCGCCCTCCCATCTGCCGAAGACGGCACCAGCAAGACTTTCTCTATATCAAGAACCCGAATGGTAAACTCGCACCTAACATGGAACAAACCGGTCAGCTTTGACCGGAAAGAGCGCCCATTCATCCGACGTGCCCGGTCAGCGCTTCGTGGCATAGAGAAAGTCAAAGACCTAGCACACCGTGGCGCATTCCCAGAGGTCTTTGATGAGGCCAGGGCCCTCGTGGAGTCTGGATACGAGCCGGATCGGGAACTCTACGCAGCGCTGGTCTACGCATGTTCCAATTTCCCGGGATGCCTAATGCAGGATTTGGCCCTCAGCCTAGTGAAAGAGATGAAGGGTCGGGGTATCCAATCAAATACTGAGATGTATCACCATCTACTCAAGTTGTTGGCTACGTCCCCGGACTACCTCAAGCGCGCGGAGGTGCTCAAGGAGATGAAGGACAATTGGCAGACGGTGTCGGATGACGGGTGGCAGTGGGTCATTGCCGGGCATCTAATGGGGGGAAATTTGGAGCTTGCGTTGGGGATTATTGAGGAGCGGAGGGGAAAGGGGTTAGTTGTGCATAGGAGTACGTATGAGCATGCTATTTACAGGCTTTGTGCGGCTGGGGAGGCGGAGGGGGCGCTGAGGATCGCGAAGATGCTGGATGATGAAGGGTTCTGGGAGACACCGGCGAAGGTGGTGTATGATTTGTTGGTTGTGGGGGCCAAGCAGATGCATGTAAGTGGTTCTCAATCTGATACCTATATTATCAATGATGGAACAATAGGTGACTGATGACATTTATTTCTATCGCAGCTCGACTGCACAATGTGGTCCTGGTTCCAAATGAACGACCGCCAACTCTTTATCCCGGACGACGGCCTTTGCATACTAACTTTGAACGTCGCCGCTCGTTATGGCGTCGCAAAACTCGCAACAGACGTCTTTCGCGTCCTCGTGGACCGCAAATTCGAATACGGAGAGCACCATTTTGCCGCCCTGTTGGAAACCTACTTAGTAGCCGACAACCTCCCTACCGCATTCTCGGTCCTGAATATCATGGAATCCGCCAACGTGCCGCCAAAACCAAACACAACCCGCAGCATAGTCAACAAACTGACACAAAACAACTCCCCACGGGACATCGAAGCGGCATACGAAATCCTCCTCGCCCAACGCAAGCTCAAAAACTCTGTCCATATTGCAGCCTTGAACACCATCATCGCGGCGTTCGTCCGAATCTCGGACGTCAAGTCCGCTTTCAATGTATACAAAGTGATCCCCAATTTCGACCTACGCCCGGACCTGCAAACATTCAATTGGCTGCTCCGGGGCGCGGCGGAGCAGGGGAGGAAGAAGTTTGCCATGTGGGTAGTGGCGGAAATGCAGGAGATGGGGATCAAGCCTGGAGAGGAGACGTACGAGAGTCTCGTGCTGGTGTGCGCTGCTCAAGAGGTTATCAATGATGCGTTCGCTTACTTGGAGGAGATGAAGAATATGAGGTTTAAGCCGAGTGCGAGGTTGTATGAAGCGCTCGCAGTGAGGTGTTGGGAGTTGAAAGATTGGAGGTTTGAGGGGGTGGTTAAGGAGATGGAGGAGAAAGGGTATTCTGCTCGGGGGATTGTGGAAATGTCGCACCAGCGGAAGGCTGGGGAGCAGGCTGCGGTAAGGGCGCAGGGGGTCCAGAGAGTGAGAGCCCAGGAGGATGAGGAGGGGGAAGGCCTCCAGAGGGATCCTGCCGATAAGGTTGGAGAGCAGTTAGGGCGTAAACTGAGGTGGTAATCATAATCGGTCACTCGGCGATTGAATGTGCTAGGATGAGATTGTTTTTTCTTCTCCTTTTGTAAAATTCTAGATTTTCTGCCAAAACACCGGCAGGGACAGCTGGGTGTGTACATGATACGGTAAAAGCCAAGGAACATATCCTGTTACAGACTCATGACGCAATACGTATCGTGACTCAGAACCCCAATATCATGCACTCCCCAAGTGCATATCATATCACACCAGAGCCATTAAGTATCTCAACACAATTCCACTTTCACCCCCCGGAATCACCCTAATCAAACGGTCCCATTCAATCACCCACCTCAAATAACCTCCCCCTCCTTCGGCCCGGGTGGCAAATTCCTCTTGATAACCCTCAGCATCTCAGCAGACTCCTCCTCGGAGAACCTCTGGTCCATCTCCTCCACGATGCAATCCAGCTCTGCAATACTGCTCGGTCGGCAATTCACCATCATGAGTAGCTCCGCCTTCTCTAGTGCGAAGGCCGAGATCTCGTGCATGAAGCTTGATATCGCTTCTTCGGATTGGGTGGCGGCGGGGGTGGTTTGGAGGTAGTCCCTTACCTGCGTGAAAAAGTGTCAGAGGGAAGGAGAATGGAGGAGGGGAGGGGGTAGGACTTCTTTCATTATTGTTTCTAGATTGCTGGATTTCATGGCGTGCGCTGTGCCTTGAGATTGGCCGAGCGCTAGGTACCGCGTTTTCGTCTCCGTTAGGTGTCTCAGGACTTCGTAGTCGCTGAGGAAGGCGGTGCGCGGGTTTAGGACTTTCATTGCGGTGGTTGAGGGGTGGTGTAGCTCCGGGAACTGCGCGCAGTTTCGCAAAGATTGTGGTAGGTATTAGTTGTGACCGATTGAGACTTGGAGGTATGGTATACTGTAGTAGATGTATTGGAACTTGTCGTTTGTGCTGGTGATTTTTTGGTAAGATCGATGTCACTGTTGAACATTTGTCCCAAAAGGTCACGGGCCCTGCCAAGCCAAACACCTGTGAAGAAACGCGACCTAATCGCGTAACCTACCGGAATTACCGATCTTCTGTTGTTCCAAGCAGGGGCAGGGGGCACCTTTTTTTTCCCTTTCCCACCCAAAACCAAGCCCTCCTTCCTTCAAGCAACACTACTTTACGCGTCCACGAGAAAGAAACATAACCCCTCTTTCGCTGTTTTTCTCATCGACACTGGACAGGTATCATACCCGCTACGTTTTCTTTTAACAACTGTACACTTCTCTCTATCTCATACACCTCATCCCGTTTATCAATTGCTACTTCTCAAGGCTCTCGCCTTTGACAAAAACCCCTCTTGTCTCGCAGCTTCTGGTTGTTGTTCCCCCGATAAACAAACAACCCCACTACAGATAGGACAACACATCCGCCCATCATGGAAAGAGATCCTATCACCGACCAGGTCTTCAAAGGTAAGCTCTAAGCTCCACTCCTATCTGCAAGAACAAACCTCTAAGAACAAAACAGATCGGGTCCGCCAGTTCAGCGAATTCTTGGATCCAAATGATGAAGACCAGCGAAGCTATACTGATTCGATTAAGTATATAGATACCACCTTTCTAAAAGAGGAGTATAAGTGAACTGATTGGGAGGCGGAATTATACAGGTTGATGCTTAATCGTGGCCAGCGACGCTTACAGGTTAATCTTGACGAGATACGCAACCACAATAGGGAGCTTGCGGATGGGTTATTGAATACCCCGTTTGATTATTTGCCGACACTGGATCGGGCTTTGACGGAGGTTGCTTCGACTTTGAGGGATCGGGCGAGACACGAGGAGATTACCGATGATACGGTAGGTTGTTTATTGGATTGGATTAAGAGCGAGTAGGGAGGGGTTAATCTTGAGGAGTTGCGCTGATTGGAGGAATATAGCTTTTCTACTGTGCCTTGACTGGCAGTTTTGGGGAGTATGCGGTCAATCCTAGGACTTTGAGTTCGAAGCATTTGAATCATATGATTTCGTTGGAGGGGATCGTATGTCACCATTATCCTTTCTTTCTCCAAAATGTGCATGTTGGGTCAATGCTGACTTGGGGTGGTTTAGGTCACTCGGTGTTCCCTGGTGAGACCGAAGGTGGTCAAGAGTGTGCACTACAATGAGAACAAGAAGGTGTTTGTCGGGCGTACATACAAAGATCAGACCATGTCTGTCAATGGGCCAGCAACTACAAGTGTAAGAATGACCTTATCGAGACGGAATATTCCAAGTTAAATTCATTTCTTTCTTTTCCTTTAGGTTTACCCCACCGAAGATGACCAGGGAAATCCACTTATCACGGAGTACGGTTATTCGGTCTATCGTGATCATCAGACCATCTCTATACAGGAAATGCCTGAACGCGCTCCGGCCGGGCAGCTTCCCCGAAGCGTAGATGTGATTATGGATGATGACCTCGTGGATCGAGTCAAGCCCGGTGATCGTATTCAGTTGGTGGGGCTCTACCGGTCATTGGGCAATCGGAATGCCGGACAAGGCAGCTCGACCTTCCGGACCTTGCTTATCGCAAATAACGTGATCTTGCTGTCTTCCAAGGCTGGAGGTGGTATTGCACAGGCAACCATTACTGATACTGATATCAGAAATATCAACAAGATTGCCAAGAAGAAGAATATCTTTGAGTTACTGTCGCAGTCATTGGCCCCAAGCATCTATGGTCATGACCATATCAAGAGGGCCATCTTGTTGATGCTGTTGGGAGGGATGGAAAAGAACCTGGATAACGGGACTCATTTGAGAGGGTGAGCAATAGCGATGGGCTCTTTTGCCTTCCGAGTACTGACAATATTAGTGACATTAATATTCTCATGGTTGGTGATCCCTCGACTGCAAAATCCCAGCTTCTTCGATTCGTGCTCAACACTGCACCCTTGGCAATTGCAACTACTGGTCGTGGGTCTTCCGGTGTAGGTTTGACTGCAGCAGTGTCTTCAGATAAAGAGACGGGCGAGAGGCGGTTGGAAGCTGGTGCTATGGTTCTTGCCGATCGTGGTGTTGTCTGTATCGACGAGTTTGACAAGATGAGTGATATCGACAGAGTGGCTATTCACGAAGTTATGGAGCAGCAAACGGTTACGATTGCCAAAGCTGGTATTCATACCTCGCTTAATGCCAGATGCAGTGTCATTGCCGCGGCAAATCCGATATATGGCCAATATGATCCTCACAAGGACCCTCATCGTAACATTGCTTTACCGGATTCCCTGCTATCCCGTTTCGATCTGTTGTTTGTTGTCACGGATGACATTGAGGATTTCAGGGATCGTCAGGTATCCGAGCACGTTTTGAGGATGCACAGGTACCGTAGACCGGGGACCGAGGAAGGAGCCCCTATCAGGGAAAATCCCGGTCAGATGCTAGGCGTTGGCCTCGAAGAGGATAATGCCGAGTCTGGAAGGCCCACTGAGGTTTACGAGAAGTACGATGTACTTTTGCATGCTGGGGTTACTATCACTACTGGACGCGGGAATGCCAGGAGGGTGGAAGTCCTTAGTATGGGCTTTGTGAAGAAGTATATTCAATACGCTAAGACTCGTATAAAGCCTGTTTTGTCAAAGGGTGCTGCAGACATCATTGTGGCTACCTATTCTGCTCTAAGGAACGACGAGCTTGAGGGAAGTCAGAGAAGGACGTCTCCCATGACTGCTCGTACCCTGGAAACCTTGATCCGTTTGGCGACTGCCCATGCAAAGGCAAGGCTTTCGAATCGTGTAGAGGAGAGGGATGCTATTGCGGCAGAGGAAATTTTGAGGTTCGCCTTGTTTAAGGAAATTGTTCAAGACGAACGCAAGAAGAGGAGAAGGGTTGGGAGCGCAGAGATGGATGTTGACTCGAGTGATGACGATGACGACGATGAAGAGGAGGAATCCCAGCCAAGGACCCGTGGGTCTTCCCGTCGTGCCCGAGCATCGGCCAGAAACAAGAGTCAGACCGCCAATGGCGGCGCGGATGATCACGAGATGGATGCAGCAGTGGATGACGACGACGACGACGACTTGTACTCCGCCCCGACTTCCTCAAGGCACACGCGGAGGTCAGGCCGGAGTGCGGTCACTCAGGACGAATCTCAAAACTCCTGGGCATCTTCCCACCGTGCCTCTTCAGTTTTGCAATCGCAAACCGAGTCAGGCCAAGCTTCTAGCTCCGCCGGGCCGTCGGCTGCCGCAGAATCACAGTCTGAGGCTATATCGCCCGCAAGGGTACTGGTATTCCAGAGAGCGCTCGCTGGGCTGCTCAATGCGCCTGTATTCCAGGACGACGCTGCTGAAGTTGGGCCCTTACTTGTTGAGATTAACAACAGCATAGGCCAGGAGCAGAGGTTCTCAAGAGGGGAAGCCGAGGCTGCTCTCGAGAAGATGAACGACGGGAACAAAATAATGTTTGTGCCCCCTAGAGCCAGCATCCAAAAATATTTTTTTAAAAAAGCGAACTTTGCTAACAATTGTCAGGTTCACTGGTGGAGATATTGTATACAAACTATAGTAGGATGGAGTGTGCTCGGGTATCGTACCCCTTAGGCGTTGGTTATTATGGTTCCGCTCGGCTTAGTTACCCCGACCCGGTTGCTTATGAGGTTTTTTTTTTTTTCACACTCCGAAAGTAAAAATTCCAAATGCCTTTATCATACTGCACCTGTACGAGTAATTTACCGTAACACTCGATTGTGACACGGATGGAAGAAAGTGGAGAAATGCTTTTCCAAAACGTTTCAACAGCGCCCGTTTGGCACAAGCACCCTTTAGGCGCACCCTTTTTTATGATAATATTATGATATTGTCGTAACTTTAGATTTTTCGCGTGTCGGGGCTGCACACATGGTGGGCGCGTGGGCACTTTCTTGGCATGGAATGTAAGTTACGGTATTGCCGTAGCGGTATTGGTAAGGTGGGAAAAGATGGGGCACAAGTGAATGTAGTCTCACCCAGCCAATCACCAATAAGGTGGGGGGGTTCGCACCATCTCAATTGCGAGCAACCGATTCGCCAGTTGCAGCGGTGGTGAGATGAGTTGGTGGGTTGAGAAGTGAAAGAAAGATGCTCGAGTATGATACGAGTACAGTACTATGTATGTACTGTACACGTACAATACCCAACTTGGAAACTAAAGGTCTTTGGACCCAATTAGCTACAGCAACAAAAAGGCCATAATAGTGGGTACAAGGTGTGGATTTTGAACTGGAAGATGGTCCAATTTTATATAAATGAGCTCATTGAGGTCCTCGCCAGTCATTTTTTGGTCAATTGAGTCCACGGTAATTCCGAATCGTGCCGGTCTGAGTTTTTATTTTATTTTTCCAGACAAACACCAGTTACCGGTAATCGTTCGATCGAGTCTGGAGGGATCCCTCCTACATTGCCACCCCCCGCCCTGTTACAAATACGATACATGTCGAGGGTCCACTGTGTTGTCAACCTGTGACTTTCGGTGGTGTGATAGCGTATAATACCTGGAAATTTAGGCTTGGATTGGGCTTTTGCCTGTCGCATCAATTCAAGGGAAGAATACAGGTATGATACACATTCCTACTTGTACGAGTACAGTACCTTATGCCAAGTCGTTAACAGGCCAACGGCACTTTGTGCATAAGTTACCGGTACCATGCCGGTAACTGTACCCGACGGTTTTTTTTTTTTCAAAGTCTCCGCCCAAACGGAGGGAGAAAAGAAAAAAGAAAAAAAAAAAGAGAGGAAATCGATCAGAGATGCTTGGCCCTACTCGTACAGTCACCGTTTTTTTTTCCCGTCGAAAATTTCAAAAAACAAGACTTATCAACCCCAGGACCCCCCCCCTTCCTTTACCCAAGGGAGAAGGTTTTGCTTGGATATCATAGGTGAATAACGATTATCAATTCCTTCAATTCAGGCCACTCTCATTGTAAATTTGTAATACTGCATTAGCGGGACATCCCTTTTGGTATACTAGTAGTTGTAGATAGGGAAAAGTCATCAAGGAAACGGGTAACTCTTCGTCCCGGATAGACTACATTATTTTTAGGGGGCGAGGGGAAAGGTCGAGCCGCGCCACCCGTATGATTACTACCGCTAGTAACTCGGCCCGACCCCGGAGGCTTTCCGAAGGGAACGGCGGATGTGAATGTGTGCCTTGCTTGCCCACTTACGCACTCGAACCGGTAGTCTACTCGAGCTTATAGAAGGAAAGTGGAATATTCGGAGAGTCATCATGGTGTGAGATGTGATGATGGGTGAGTGAAGACGAGTACAATTTCGATTTGGTGATTGTACCGTACCAATGTGGGCACACCCATGAAATGCCTGAATTTATAAAGGGTAAGTAAAAGAGGGTTCTGAATATGGCATGCGAGTCTTGAAGGTGAAAAGGTTTTCAAATATGGCATATATCTAGTTTTTATTTATTTATTTATTTATTTATTTAGGCCCCCTTTCTGTTGCTGATCCTTTATCTTTTGCCATCATAAAAGCTGCAAATACTGTAACAATCCTAAGTATAGTATATGTTGCAGGGAGAATATGATATGGTTGTTCCTGAAAATATAACAAGCACATTCTTGGGCATCGCCAAACTCCCCCTCCACCTCAAAATTTTTTCATAGAGAAAATTATTATGCCATAAAAAAAAAAAAAAAAACTTTTTATGGCATTAAAAATAACCAATCAAACAGTGCCTTGATTATTTTTAACCCTATTAAATTAGTTAATTGCCTGAACAGATTGTGCACCTGTTAATGGGACTTGTACAAGTACCTTCTATCATACTAACAAGTAACTTGAATATAGAATGGCGTTGATCATTGGGTCTCTAAAGCTCATGCGCTGTGCGCGCTGTACTCGTACTGTACAGTACCGTATCATACTCAGAACCCTTTACGCTTATAAATCTAGGCGTTTCATGGATGCGCCCACATTGGTACAGTACACGCCCTAGACGCCTTGCACCATACTTCTACCGGTACAGTACGAGTACAGTACAGTACTGTACTTCACTCCTGTGAATGGGAAGTCAAGCTGCCGCTCTGGTGGATGGTTTTTTTTTTTTTCTGTGCGGCGCAAGCGTCACGTTGCCTGTGGTACTTGTACAGTACTTGTGGCTCAGGTCATCAAACAAGTGGTCGAAAATCGGGACACTTTTTTTTTATGCTGGGTTACAATGAAATACCGGTTATGCTCATTCTGTCAAAAGCGGGAAAGAATGAGAGAGGGAAAGTCTTATCATATCGTAATTGGAGGGAGGGGAGGATGTTTAACTTACGATTTTGGCGAATGGCAGATCCAGAAATATCATAAGTGATATCCTCTTTGGCTCACCTGTTTTTTTTCTTTTCTTTTCCTCACTCTCGTTACCCCTGGAAGGTGATCGGCTGATTTCCCGATTGGGCGTAAACAATGATGAAATTGCCCCGGAAACTGCAAAGCGACAGGGGTTACATAGGGTAGTACAGTACAAGGACGAGTAGAGTGAAGTGTGCGCAATCTCGAGAGCGAGGGAGAGTGGGAGAGAGTGGGAGAGAGTGGAAGGAAGATGTGTAGAGAATTTCTTTGCCTTCCAAAACTCCTACCAATTTTGCAGGAATTGAGTGCTGGGGGGGAGTGCCGGTATCATAACATCTGTTGACTATTTCATTTCTATCACAGCTGGGTTTGGGTTAGTTGGCGGGACACTTCCCCCCTCCCCCCCAGATCCAATCCTACAAGTACAAGTACAAGTACTCCCCTATCCATTGTATCTAACCTTCTGCCTTCACACACACCCTTCTTCTCCTTCTCCTTCTTCTTCTTGGTCGTCCTCTGCTCCCTCTCATCGTCTGGGATCCAGTATCATCGTGCTGGTGCTGTGATCCTCCCTTCTCGCTATAGTTTATTCGGACCCGTCTCTTCCCCATAAATACCTTCCTTCCGTTTTTCTCCCTTTTTTTTGTGGTGACAAACTCACTGGGAACCGCCATTCAGTTCTTGGCAACTCTGCACCTGGAAAGACGTTATTCCTCTTACGTTGCCCGGAGAGAGGGTATCATACGAGTGCAAGGGGTTGGATGAAAGGGGAAAAAGGAAAGGGAAAAGGAAAAAGAAAAACCAGGCCGTCACTCAACTCCGTTAACGAGCAACCTTCGTTTTCTATTTCCAAGAGGTTACGGGGAAACAGGACTGGCGGAGAGAAGGATAGTGAAAGTCTCGTGTGACAGAGTCCATTGCAACCCAGGGCTCGGCCGAGACCACTTACTTTCCCTTCCTCTCCTTCCCCCCTTCTTTCGACCCACTCTCACCACCACACCCCCCCCCCCCAACCGACCCATAGTCTCCCACACACCCCTTCAACTCACCCCTTCAACAATGGACGAGATTGCCAATTTGTCGACCTTTGTTCCGCCATCGGCTGTTAGCTCTGCGGAGCAACCCTTCCAGACTCTGGTTGAGGGCTTCGAGACTATTGGGAAGACACTCGAAGGACTCAGCGGATGGCAGATTTTCTTCTCGATCGTCATCTTATCGATAACCTATGATCAATGTTTGCCCTTCCCTCTCCCCCTTTCTTCAATTCCGCCGCGACCCGGTAGGGGTTGTATCAAGTTTCTGACTCGCGTTTTGTCATTATCTGCATAGGTCGCTATATCTGGAATAAGGGGTCTATTGTTGGCCCTTCTCTGAAGATCCCTTTCATGGGGCCTTTTCTGGAGTCTGTCAATCCAAAGTTTTCGGAGTATCTTGCAAAGTGGAATAGCGGACCTCTCAGTTGCGTTTCAGTCTTTCATAAGTATGTTTTATTCCTTTACCCGCCCTTATTTTTCATTGCCTTCGTGATAATTTGGACGGTATTGCCCTTGTTTATGTGTCAATCGCTAATTGTTGCGTAGATTTGTTGTCATCGCTTCAACTAGAGATTTAGCTCGCAAGGTATTTAATTCCCCAGGGTATGTTAGCCCCTGCGTCGTAGATGTTGCCAAGAAAATCCTTCGTCCTGAGAATTGGGTTTTCTTGGACGGCAGAGCGCACGTTGAGTATCGTAAGGGTCTCAATGGATTGTTCAGTCGTCAGGCTATGGGCATGTATCTCCCTGGACAGGAGGAGATTTACGACGTTTACTTCAAGAAGTGGTTGGAGCTTTCCAAGGAGGGAAAACCTATCCCCTTCATGTCCGAATTCCGTGACATCAACTGCGCCGTTTCCCTGAGAACCTTTGTTGGCCATTATATTAGCGACGAGGCTGTTAAAGAGATCTCTGAGAATTACTACAAGATCACTGCCGCCCTCGAACTGGTCAACTTCCCTATCATTCTCCCCTGGACAAAGACCTGGTACGGGAAGAAATGCGCCGACTTCGTTCTTAATGAATTTGCTGCTTGTGCTGCAAAGTCTAGAATCGCCATGAAGGAGGGAAAGGAGCCTGGATGCACTATGGACTCGTGGATCAAGTCGATGATGGAGGCCAAGGAATCCGATGCGGCCAAGGTCGCTGCCGCTAAGGGACTTCCTCAGATCCGTGAGTTCAGTGATATGGAAATTTCCATGACGATATTCACCTTCCTTTTCGCGTCCCAGGATGCTTCTTCCAGTGCTTCCACATGGCAATTCCAAATTATGGCCGATAGACCCGATGTTATGAGGAGGATTAGGGAGGAGCAGCTGCGCGTTAGGGATGGTGACCCACACAAGAGGCTTGGTTTGGATATGATCGACAAGATGGTCTATACTCGCGCTGTCGTCAAGGAGCAACTCAGATATCGTCCTCCGGTCATCATGGTTCCCTATGAGGTCAAGAAGAGCTTCCAGATCACCCCCGAGTACAAGGTTCCCAAAGGTGCTATGGTCGTCCCTACTCTTTACCCTGCGCTTCACGATCCCGAGGCTTACAATGACCCCGAGAGCTTTGTTCCCGAGCGTTGGTTGGAGGGCGGTGAGGCGGAGGCAGCCAAGAAGAATTGGCTCGTCTTCGGAGCTGGTCCTCATGTTTGCCTTGGTCAGAATGTAAATTTTCCAATGCCTAATTTTTTGGACCGAATTCAGTTATACTAACATTTGGTAGTATGCTATTATGAATTTCATGGCTATGATTGGCAAGGCATCGCTAATGATGGACTGGGAACATCATGCCACACCAAAATCTGAGGACATTAAAGTTTTCGCGACAATTTTCCCTGAAGTAAGCCTTCCCGTGCCGCTGCAAGGATGACGTGAGACTAACCTTATTTTCAGGACGATTGTTTTTTGGTGTTCAAGGAGCGTGATCCGTACGCCCCTGCTTGATGATTTACCTCTTCGCTTCCCCTCACTCCCCCCCCATTTCTTACTTTGACTTCTATAACTCCAATACATAATTTTCAAGGCTTTTTTCCTCACTTGGATTATAAATTTTTCTCTTGTTATTTGGCTTTTTTTTCCAATACCATTTCTCAATTACTGTTTTTCACTTTTTTACACCATATTTCTTTTGCTCTTGCTTTCCCTCAGGTGCGTTTTTGTCGTGTAGACATGGTAAATATGGGAATAGTGGGGGATTTTTTTTCTTCCTTTTTTTCATTCGGGGGCACTTCTACTTTGGAGGCCCTTTTTATTTTGTGCATTTTGGGACCTTTTCTCGTCCTTTTCTCCTTTTCTTAATCCACCGAGTGTGCGTCGGTATGGGATAATTCATAGATGCTGCAGAGGAGTGTGATGCTGGATGTATGGATGGCCGGCCGCTGGGTTTGTGGGAGGGAAGGGTAATGGGAGGAAGGGGAGGGGGGATAGGGAAGAAAAAACGTTCCGTTGTATCTGGCATTGTTGCACACTTGTAATATATTCTCGCCGCATGCCATTATAGTACAGTACGGTGAGAAGTCGTGAGGATGCGCGCGCGCGTGGTTGAAGCGCGTGGTGGTCAGGGAGGGTTTGGGAACACTTCATAACCCGCTCGGTGGCGGTTTCTGCGGGTTTTCCATGCGTTGAGGTGGGTCGTTTCCCCCCGCTCTTTCACCCCGGAGATTTGGAAGGGTGGGGTAGGACTTAACCATACGGTTGGTAGGGAGCGGGTGATCCGTGGTGATGGAGTGTTCGGGCTGGCCTGAAGGTACCCATGGATATGACACCGTGTTGGACAGTATGATACCATTGAGGGCTCTGGTGGGATGCAGTGGGCTGCCATATTCCGCAATACCTCCCCACTTTGTACGCCCTTGCGCATTCTTTTTTTCTTGATACCCACAACCCTGTATGCACACTGCTACCGGCACTCGGTGTGATAGTCGCCGGTGGTGTTCCCGGTGTGTACTTGGCATGTGAGGCTGGATGCGTGTGGATAATTTTCCCGCTTGGTGCATGTTATGGACCTAGGACGGGGATTTATAGTGCCGTGGGGCGGTTCGGTGGTTTTCTGTGGGAGGGCGGTTTGTGGTGACCATGATAATTGAATAGAGCAAGTTGGGAGAAGGGAGGGTCCCGCTAAAGGCGTCATTCTCAGCGGCTATGTCAACGCGATAGGTAGGTATCGAACACCCGTGATATATTAGACTATCGTCACTCATACATTCATGCTGAGAATGCCACCCCCCGCCACAGAAAATCAGCTCGTTATTCGATCGTTGAGGAATCCCCGGGCAAACAGAAGGGTGGGTATTCCCTGGGGAAGTCGCAGGGCTGTCTTGCGGGTGGGTGCGGTTTCGTGTGGTTGTGAAGGGGGGGGGATGCGTAGGGAAGGGTGGTAGTAGCTTGTGTTCTCTGTAAATTACTGTGATTTCCTTGGTGAGAGTTCCGCGGGGGATTCGTTGTTAGTGGCGGTGTCATCACTCGATCTCCAATCACTAAGTATGTCTTGACGTGCTGCCGCGGTGTTTCCCTCCCCGCGTTCTCTTACTGCGTTTAGATGAAAGTTGTGCTATGAGGAATACTACCGGCAAAATATAGCACAATACTTCATCCCAGAAAGGAAGAGGGAAGGAGAGAGGGGAGAAAAGAAAAGAAGAGCTATTGGTGATCGGGCACGATTCATACGCTATTAAGGGCCAAGTTGTATAGAAAGAAAGAAAAAAACAGCCAATAGGGTACTCCACCCACCAATAGTCTAAGTATCATACTCAATAGCGCAGGGGCACACATCCAGAAATTAACCAATCCAGGCAGTTCTCAACCATTAGTAGATAGACCAAGATATCCACCCGCTTCGGTGCCGGATGTATTTCAGCCATGAGTTAGAGTGATGGTCTTCCAGTGACATCCACTCTCTAGCCAACGGTGGGTTGGAAGAAACAACCTTCCGAATGGAACGGGTGGAAAAGAAGAAGAAAAAAACAGTCAAGTTGCTCGCTAGATGAATTATCCCTCCCACCACCATTTTTTCTTTTCTTCCCAAGGTGGGATTGTAGGGTGAGGTAGGTAGCATACCGATCAGATATTCTCTTCCCTTCCCAGGAATGTTTCTCGGAGGGTACGCGCGATCTGGTCTACCGGTCCAATTCCAGTACCGGAAGAGGAGGAGGAGGGGGGGGGGTGGACATCACCAACGATACATCCACCACTCGCGGCAAAAGAAAGAGCTGGTGAAGGCGTCACGGACTAAACCCCTGGACTCGTACGCTTTTCAACTTACGACAGGAGTGTGAGGTCGGTATCGGAATTATTCGTTCCTTGGGAATCTTTCATAATATTCCCGCTGTCCCGCGAGTGATTTATTGTGAACGCGTTACTCACTGCCGAAGGTATCAAAAGTGTTCGTTAACAAAATTAACCGACTATGATATGATACATAGATGGTAGAAATCAATGTTTAGTGTACCATCCATCTGCCTTAATAATTGCTTCAGTCCTGTCTACCATTGGACCTGTTAGAGGATCAGAAATCTTTGGGTCATGAAGCTTCTGACAAGAAGTAATAGCCTCCTCTATAGCTTTTTTGACCTCATTGTCAGAGCCCTTCATGAGGTATAGGTCAGGATAATGCTTCTGGAGCTTATCTTTCGCCAGAGCCCAAACATGTTCAATTGAATTGAGATCTGGAAAGTAGGCAGGAATTTCCATAAGAGTAATTCCCTTCCCTCTGAACCATTTCCTAAAAGGGAAGTGAGTCTTAGTATTGTCAATGGTGAAGAAGACTTCTTCCTCCCCAAGAGTCTCTTTGACATCCTCCTATATCCCTACAAAGTCATATTGATTGTAAACTTCAATAATTGAATCTCCAATTACTCCCCGCATTGCCTGATCACTCACCGTCATGGTAAGGATGCAGAGAAGGCAAATGCCAGTAATGGACCAACCACTTGACTCACTTTGTGACGAGAATCTTGATCTGCTGAGAGTGTAGTTTGTTGAGATTCCTGGAAAAACCTTTGGGGTCTTTGCGATGGGGGGGGAGGGGGGCAGCGTTAAATTACTACTTATGAATATCTCCTTCCCAGATGGGAAATGATGCTGCTGGTTTTAAGCAAGCCGGAAGGACATCATGAAAGTTAAGACACCTACACGCAGGGTCCCAGGTTTGGGACCCAGAGGGCGGCAATGGGCTAATCACAGTATCACCCTCCCATTATGTGTTCGGGGGAAACACTATAGTCAAATATCCCTCATACGATTCTCCAAAACCTCACTTTCCCTTTGAGATGGCTGCGAATTCATTTCTACCGCCTTCTGCTATCATTACTGCGACTGGCCAAACAGCTGGAAGTGGAGATGTGCTGTTAGGGGGGAAGCTACAGGTTCACTGACTGCTGCTGGTGTTCATGCGATATCCC